AAGACTGCTTAAACCACAAGCAGCAGCTGATGAGAGGTAAGAAATCAGTCCTTTTACTACAATACGCTGCCTACTAGCTTCTGAAGAAAACTATCATTGTTTCATGTTATCTCTTTTATTGTGACATAAGATTAAAGAGATTACAATCAATTTATTGGGACTATTGCACTGTCCTTATTTTGTCAATGATTTAGTATCAAGTATGGATTGGTTTAAAGCATTCTGTTGTGGTTCATTCATGCGCTGGTGTGAAACGCTGTGATGCTTTCCTCACAACACAGCTGAAGGCACCACATCAGCTGACTCCTCCTAATCCATGTTTATACTACGTTTCCATAACATTTTACAAACACTATGTGTGGGATTAACTCAAGCAACGACTGAGCTCACACATCCTGTGTGAGTTTCAAGTTTAATAGCAGACATGAAACCAACAACAGCCTGAAAGGTTGAACATTTGACGAGTTAAGGAACACAACAGTGTTTAAACATGACTGTGACATGTGGACATGTTGCAGCTTGTCCGACTCGCTGACACTGTTTGTGTCAATGGAGGCGTGTGGCGCAGTGGATAGAGCCTTTGTGTTGGGATCAGGGGGTCACAGGTTCAAACCCCACTGCAGTCAGCATGTCGTTGTGTCCCTGGGAAAGACACTTCACCCCAAACTGCTCCTGTGGGGATTGTCCACAGTACTGAGTATGTAAGTCGCTTTGGATAAAAGCGTCTAACATGTAATGTGTCCGTTTAGTTTTCTTCGCTCTTGTCGTCACCGACTAACAAGCATATACATGTTTTCTACTTCACACTTACGTGGCCTCGGGTGATGTTATCATGTGTGTGCACATGTGTGTTTTGTAGCTCGAGAGGCAGCCATGTGGGAGTTGGAGGAGCGCCACCTGCAGGAGAAGCACCAGCTGCTGAAGCAGCAGCTGAAAGACCAATACTTCCTGCAGAGACACCAGCTGCTGAAGAGGCACGAGAAAGTAAGAGAGAAATCCACTCAGGGAAATGTCTTATTTTTTAAAATGCCGCTGAACTCAAAACTGTGTGCATGTGTGTGTTTTGTAGGAGATGGAGCAGATGCATCGCTACAACCAGCGGCTGGTCGAGGAGATGAAGAACAAACAGAACCAAGAGAGGGTCCGTCTGCCCAAGATTCAGCGCAGCGAGGCCAAAACACGCATGGCCATGTTCAAGAAGAGCCTCCGCATCACCGCCACTGCATCGGTCACCGTGGAGCAGGAGAGAGAGAGGATAAAACAGGTAACACGTGGACTCCTGCTGCTGCTGCTGCTGTCCTGTTACTCACATTCAAGCAGAAGTGACGAAACATGCATGTTCTATTTTGGCAACACAATGTCATACTGGCACAGTCACACCAAGGACCTGCCCAAAAAGACACTCTTGTTATCCAGCCATGTCTGCACATTTCCAGTCTCTGTTCCACTAGCTTTACTGGCACTGGGGTCATCACAATGCTGTTCAAAAAAGCATGACTTTATTTTCAGTATAGCAAAAGTGAATTACGAACCAGCAACACGTACACCCACAAATGCATGATGCGTTTAAGTGCTGGTGGAAAAATGGGATACTAAACCTTAAATTTGTTTGTCATTCCAAAAATTAGAAAAGGATGTTTTTCTAATTAGACAAAACAGCTTCACCTCTTAGTTAAACACATGCTTTCACTAAATATATCTGAAGTAGCATTTAAATATAAATATATGGTTTAAATATGCTACTGCTAGGTGGTGGACTTGTTCTTGTGCTGGTTAACCCACACATACTGTATAGAAACAGATATTGAAACAAGCTGTGTGTGCGGGCAATGCCTGAAGCACAAGAGCACCAACTTTTAAAATCCAACCCTATTGTAAAAAAGATAAATCTTTTAGAAGATTTGTTTGGGTTTGAGCTGCCGTTACAGTTTTGTATTTTTGTCTGCGTGGTCCAGTTTGCTGCTCAGGAAGACAAGAGACAGAAGAACGAGAGACTTCATCAACACCAGAAACACGAGAACCAGATGAGGGATCTGCAGCTGCAGTGTGACTCCAACATCAGGGAGCTGCAGGAGCTACAGGTGAAGCCGCTACACACACACACACACACACACACACACTTTGAATGTATTAGAAAATAAGTTGGAGGAAATATATAGAATTAACTTATTTTCATCCCCTTACACTGTGCTGTGAAAATAAGAATGGGACAAAAATAGGTTCCAGTGCAGATAAAGTCAGAGTACATGAGATGGTATTCATTCATCCTGAAGACACACGTGCTGACCCATATTTTCTTTCAGAATGAGAAGTGCCACCTTCTGATCGAACATGAGACCCAAAAGCTGAAGGAGCTGGACGAAGAGCACAGCCAGGAGATAAAAGAGTGGAGGGAGAAGCTGAGACCCAGGAAGAAGGTATTATACATCTCCATTTCCTCTTGAAGTTAAAGATTAATACAGACTTCCTCCCAGTTACTCAGTTGTTTGTCTCTGCTGCCCCCTGCAGGCGCTGGAGGATGAGTTCACGCGGAAGCTCCAGGAGCAGGAGGTCTTCTTCAAGATGACCGGAGAGTCTGAATGCCTTAACCCCTCCACCCAGAGTCGAGTCTCCAAGTTTTACCCCATCCCAAACCTGTACAACTCTGGTTTATAGCCTCTTCTGTCCGTCCCTGCTGCAAAACAGACTCCTATCAAACTCGGCTCACTGACTCTTCCTGGTAGAGTGACAACTTCTCCTCGACCACTTAGATTCCACCGTTAGTGAGCATGACGTGCCTACACACCGTTCTCTCACTAGTTTAAATGTCCCTCCGCTCGTCCAATTACAATATGCACTTTTTTGAGCATGTTCAAATTTGAAAAGCCTGCAGTTGGTATTGAAGGGTATATGAATATGAGTTGAAGCACAGCCTGCTACAGTATGAATGATCCCCAGTGCCTCATGTTCTTTCTTTTCTGCATTCAAGCCCCTCGCTGTGTTTAACAGTAAGTGAAGCGTCCCCTAAATGTCCTACACTTAAACAATTGGTTATCATTTCCACTCATAATCACAAGATGTTTAGAGATGATTTGAATCATTTCATATAACGGGTGATGAAGACTCTGACATCTCGTGTTGCTGCATGTGAGGTAGAGCTGGTTTAAAAGAGTCAAAAGAAAAAGTGTGTTGTCGTATGACTTTGTTATGGCACGTCAAAAACAGTGCTGTGTTGGGATGTTAAGGACGTACTGTGTTGTAAATGCTGAAATGTTACATGTGTGTACCTAGATATGAAGCTCAATCAGATACTGTGCTTGCCATGAGGGTTTTTACAATCTGAAGAATATGGCTTTTTCGTTCACACATCATTTCATTTCATTGCTGTAATCCCACTTAGTTAGACACAGAGGTGACCTGTTTCTTCCTGGAGAATGATAAAATACTTTTTTATATATATAAATAATATATAGAAATCACCGTGAATGAAAATGAAGGAATGTAAAGCTGTTGATTTGCACTGTTTTGTTATGAGCTAATGAAAAGAATATGCAGTAATAAAACTGTCAATAGGTTTTTGACAGCGCGTCACCTTTGTCTCACACAAGCCTATTCAAACTCCAAACTAACTGAGACGTTTTGATTTCTTTCTGATCATTTCGCTGTTTTTTTCCTTTTCCAAATATGCCCTTTAGTATTTTACGACCACATCTACTTTTCTACATGTATTCCTGTTATGTGACGCTGTCATCGCTCGTTCCTCTGAGCTGCTCTTTTTGTCTGAAAGGTGAAATGCTGTACCTGTAACTGTACGAGACGTCCTTCGCTGTATTCTAGGAGCAAAAGTATTAACGGTTCACAAAAAGAGATGTCATGATTCTTTTATTTTGTCTGTGCGTATCATCAATGCACGTCATTTTCTGTATGCTGACAAAGGGTGCGTCATGAATGCTGGGTTTTTATCGGGGCACATGGAAACTGTCCCGAGAGTCACATTCCCCATAGATTTAAAATATTTTTTTATTTTGTTAAGTTACAGCATTTCTTGTCATTCTACAACATTGATATCATTTTCATGTCGGATCAAATGTATTTAAAGTGTCTTTATAAATTGACATTTTATTGCTGTAAATAAAATATTGACTGTTGATTTGAAAGTTGACCCGTCTACCTTCTTATAATTTAACCTTTCAAATACTTGTAAATACTAAGGCCCCTAAAAATGTAAATATTACAAAGATGGTAAACGATATTGATATAATCTTTGCTTTATTGTATGTTTTGCCTCTCTGTGAACATCTAATCCAAAAGGGTGACATTCTGATCATTTTTTCCAGAGAAACATGGGATAAGGCCAACACGGCTCCCTTCAGAGGAGCCTACATTTTCACTATTTTCGGTTATGGGAAAGTTCCAAACAAGCAAAAACTTATAATTTTGAAGTAAAATATTTGTATTCAACCATCCGTTTCATAGATATATTATTTAAAAAAACCTCAGGTACAGGTATCTCGAAAACTAAAGCCATTTGGGGGGTTTGTTCCTCTAATATTAGTTTAAGACTTTTGTGACAAACTATATTTTGTCTTTTTAGGACTTTTCACATTTCTTTGTGACTTTTTTGTCTTTTACTTTCTTTATCACTTTTTGTGACAAAGTATAGTGCAACATCTTAATTACATTTGATGACATACTATACTATGACATAATTAAGCTGTTTTTTTTATTAAAAGGTCCTATTTTCTTTTCAATATCTTCCATGTCATGTGAACAGTGATTCCAAATCAATGCAGCATTGAATACACTGGCTAAGTAGAACACACCTGAAATTCAGCATTTTTTTATTGAAAACTCATTTGGCGTAATTATATAAAAATAATGTAGCATTGTATTACCTCACTGCATAAGTAGGAGTTGTTTTGTTGTAAATGTGATATTGACTGTTAACTTGACACACGACAGCCTAACATAACACCTCAAATCAAATTAATTTGAATTAATTCATAAAAGTATCAACGCCCCCGAGTCGAAAAATAGATTTATTGTGTGTCTTTTATATATATATTGATCAAAAGTCAAAAAGTGCAATGATGTCAAACATAATCTGGGAACATTTTATAATTTAATCTCTCCAACAAATATATCAATTTCACTGCTCTCTTATACAAAAATATACAATCCAATCCATCATTTTGTTGTGATTTTCAGACTTTCAACCACACAAACAATGTCATTTATTCTTCTTCTTAATTTTGAACTAACAAATCTTTCAAGTAAATCATCAGTCGTAACTACAGCAACATTTACTGTAACATAAATCCCCTATCTGCTGCAAAAATGACCCTCACTGACTGGTAATGTTGCATGTTTTTAATATATATTAAAAAAAAGGGTTAATGATATTCTTATTTATTTGTATGGGATGAATGAATAACTTCCAAGGGTCAGGATGGATGCTAGCTTGATTTATGTAGATAATCTGACAATATTGTAGTATTTTATAAAACATTGAAGGGTTACCTTGACACAACATTTAACACTTTGCATAGTTCTCAAAACAACATAATCCTCAATGAAAACAAAATCAAGTACACCAATCAATCGACACGAAAGTTACACGAGCAGTTGGAAATAATATCAGCTACTTATTGCTTAAAAATAGAAATTGTCCCTGGGAGAAAAAAGTGAGCAAGCTTCTAACCAAGCAAAGTAAACATTATACACCCGGATGTAAAGAAGTCTGTGTAACAAAGACACTGACCAGCAGCTAAAATCCAAACCTCTACCAAAGCTGGTTTTAAAAAAACTGAATGCATCATTTTATTTCCTCAAATTGTCCTGTGACGTTTCTACAGATGGCAATAATAAAGAGCTATTTGACTACTTGCATTGCAACAGTTGAACACCTAAAATAAAAGATGAGTAAAAATGAAATGTGATCCAGTAATGTGTTTAACCGCTGCCTGCGTGACGGCGAAGCTTCTGACGACGACGAGCAACCATTTCATCGCCTGCAGTGGATTGAAATATGCAGTTACATGTATGTAGCGCTTGATTTTGAAGTGATATAACAAGATTCAACCAAAGGTACCTGCATCCCTCTTCTGCACCCTGTGTGGAACTTGGACAGTGTATGCCCCTGGTAGTCCTGATAAACCTGGGGGCCCAGGATCACCTGAAAACATACCAAAACTCTCAGACTTTGCTCATCTAAGTCACTCCTCTAAAAAAAGATTTATTTTGAAAAGATGTAGCGATTCATCGGCTTTGTTTCAACGTACCTCTCTCTCCCCTGGGTCCTGGATACCCCCTCTCACCCCTCGGTCCATTCTCTCCTGGAGGGCCTGCGATGGTGCCATAGGCTGCGCAAGAACAAAACACAGATTCAGTCGTGATGAAGCTACATTTTCAAACTAAACGCGCATAAGGTTTCCAAATGCTGAAAGGCAGGGATACTTCACTTTTGCAGGTATATATGTGTTTTACGCACTTTAGCACCTCATACAGTACATTCCAAAAATTCCGAAATAATTCATGTGAGTCCATCAATGCTGTGAGGTTTAACTCTGACTAATGATACTATAACTTTTTGCCTGGGTGACATGACAGTTAAGACATTTAGGCTCTATCTGTCCGACTGGAAAGCTGCAGTTTGTAGAAAATCATATCTCTGTGTACTCACTTCTGAAGAACTGCATGAGGTCCGCTGTGACGTTGCCGTAGGCCCCGATGACGCGGCTCTGGCCCGGTGGTCCGGAGGGGCCAGGAGGACCAGGAGGGCCTTGAATCGCTCGAACATGCGCCCTCCAAGGACCCTCAACCAGATACTCCTGCAGCAGACCTTTACCTAAAAAAGGGTTGTTATCATCAACATTTCATCAGTTTCAGCATGAGGAGGAACATGCATTCAGATGCTTTACTTAAGAAGAAGTAGAAGAAGAAGAAGAAGAAGTACTCATTGGTCTGAAACTGTGGCAACCCCGTTAGACGAAATTGAGAGCTAGGGGTTACAACTGGAGCCCTGTTTTCTAGCCGGTATTTGTTTACTACTAGAAGTATGCCGAATTAGCTCTTAGAATTTCCTGTTTGCTATGGACCAAGGGATGTTCACACAACATCCCCAAAGCATTATGGGAACTGTAGTTAGAGCAAGTTGGCAGTAGTAATCTAATAATGCAGATTGAGAATTAATAGATGTTCTTCTCTATTATGTATATTATGATAAGTTCATCTGTCCATTTTGTTGCACTGAAAATGAAAGAATAAAATGGTTATTTCATTTGAATGCATTTAGGTTGGTGGGTATAGTGTCAGACTGCTGCCCTATATAAAATACATCTGTATGCTGAAGCTGTGATGGACTCACTTTTGATGAGGTCTGAAACCTGGATGGCGACGCTGGAGTAGTCCAGGTTGCTGAGATCGATGTTTCTGTACTCAGAGCCGATTCGAGAGTCACTCTGAGCGTAGTTCAGGCTCTGGCTATAGCCCTGGCCCTGGCCCTGACCCTGGCCCTGACTCTGGCCCTGGCCCTGACCCTGGCCCTGACTATAGCCCTGGCCCTGACCCTGGCCCTGACCCTGGCCCTGGCCCTGACTCTGGCCCTGGCCCTGACCCTGACCCTGACCCTGACCCTGACCCTGACCCTGGCCCTGACTATAGCCCTGGCCCTGACCCTGGCCCTGTCCCTGGCTCTGGATATGGCTCTGCGTGCGGCTCAGGACGTAGCCTGACTCTCCTTGCTCTCCCCTCGGTCCCATCGGCCCCATCGGCCCCGGAGGTCCGATGATGGCACGACGAACATTGTCACCTGAAAGATAAAGTTAGTCTGTTATACACGAACGGATCTGTGCTCACATGTCTTTGATCTTGTTGGTCGTTAGGAGCTTACTGGTCAGATACTCCTGGACTTCAGCGCGGATGCTCTCCCGAGGGAAGTTTCCACTGTAGGAAACCGATCCGGAGTGGCCGCCTGATGGTCCCGCTGGTCCCTGTGGACCAGGAGGGCCGGGGAGACCTCTGAAGCCAGAACCTGGGAAAGATTCAAATCAACATTATTGTCTTTCTGTAGCTGCACAGAAAGGTAACGGTAGAATGGACAATATTCCACCTTCTTTGTTGTAAAATGTAACATTACTGTTAACTACTTTGCGATGTGAATCTAAGCCATAACCTGTTGCCTTCCTCAGTATACATTATGTTTCTAGCTCTCTGTCAGACTCACCCTGCAGGTAACGCTGAATGTCCTCCAGGCTGTAGCCACTCCCCCCAGTCCCGGCCCCGTACACGGTGGCGGTGGAGACCCCCGGCGGCCCCTGAGCGCCAGGAGGGCCAGGCTGTCCTGGGATGCCCGGGGGACCTGAAATACCTTGTTGTACGGCAGAGGCAACCCAAGAGCGGAAGTCTGAATCTAGGAAGATACAAGAAAGATGAGGATAAGGGTGATGACCCCTCCCACCCTGGACACAAACTGATCATGTTCCAAACCACATCAAGGATTATTTCTGAAACAGTTTGGAGCTCAAATGCTTTTTCTCCTGGGGGTTTACCACAAGGTGAGTTACTTTTTTTATTACCTGCTTTTTTACACATACTCTCTCCAGTGCAGGTTAGCTCTGAGTGTTAGCGATGCTTGCTAATGTAAACAAAGACCATATTACGTCCAAAACAGTCGGGCATTGTTTCTAAAAGCCCCGTTTCTGATAGGGCCGTGGGTCCACATTTCCGATATTACATAATATCGGACGCAAATCTGGATCAGCTCCGTTGTACCCCCGTTTTTAGAGATTTGGGTACGGAGGAAAAGAGAGAGGGTTTTGTTTTCTGACACTTTGTGAGTTCGCTGACGCACCGGGGACACATATTTATGTATAAAAGACATCAACAAATGCATTTGCATGATAGGTCCCCTTTAATGCACACAATGTACACAACATCTTGTTTTTTATTACTGCACATATTTTATTCCGATTCTATTTCAAAGTAAATACTGCTATATTTGACTGTATTATTTTATATTTTTTAATGTTATTATAGTTTTCTAAAATTAGTTTTCTGTCAACCTACCTGGTAATAAACCTGTTTCTGATTCTGATAACTTTTCACTGTTCAACAACAAGAGGCTTTCTGTCATGAGGGAAACACAACTTACTCCTCACAAGAGCAGAATAGTCAATCGAAGCCTGAGAGAAGCTCGAGCCCACAGCAACAGACGGCCCAGCAGGACCGGGCGGCCCGGGCAGACCTCTCGCAATCCCTCTGTCTGAAAAAGTACCATAAAAGCAATTCAATGGATTGTGAAGTCCAGGCATCACTATTGATTTCTCTAGTGCAACCTGTGCTTACCATTCATGATCTTGAAGACGTATGTGGATATCTCCTCCACAGAGAAACTGCCTGAAAATCCTCCTGCTCCTCCTGATGTCCCTGGTTGACCCGGGGGGCCTTGTGGGCCTGGGGGTCCGGACAGGTATCTCCTCACATCCTCTCCTACACAGATCACAGCAGAGAGACACAGTTTAGGTCCAGAGCTTTCTCTGAAAATATCCTCAGATGTTTTTTTCAGGTTCAATGAGATCATGATATATTATATATTTAACAGTTTCAATAGCAACATTTATTTTTACATTGTTTTAAAAAATATATTTTAATCGTTAAACATTTATTAGAATTATGTTTTTATCACTATTATTTTTTTTTATTATTTCTGTTGTGCCTATATGTTCACTTTATTTTATTTTATATTGTTTTATCTATTCACATTTCTTTTGTCTTGTCTTTCCGAGAGAAATCATTATTTATTTTATTGTATTTTATTTTTGTATTATCATACCTTTTACCTCCTTGTGTCTCTTAACCTGTTAAAATGTTATATTTTGCTAAATGTATCTGTAAAGGTTTTAACATCTGATCTGAGGGGAATTTCTTGGTGTTTATTTTTAACTTGTGATGTGTGCACTTTGAGCTGCACGTGATGTATGAAAACTGCTATACAAATAAAGCTTTATTATTATGTTGATGAGTTCACATACAGTGGAGTGTAGCGTTGATCAGTTGCATGTCTGAAGTGGTGAAATGCATTTATTTAAGGGCTGTGCAAAAATACTGTACAACTTTGCAGTACTTTACTCGCGTATTTCTATTTGACGCTACTTTATACTCCATTATATCTCATATCAGAGAACTTCTTCCCACCACCACTGTGTATCTGACACCATTTGGCTCAGCCATAATGTGTATCGTACTCACTCTGAAGCATGGAGATGAGCCCACTGACTGTCAGGGAACCAGAGCCGTGTCCAGGGGGGCCGGGTGGTCCCGGAGGACCCTGAACCCCGATGCTGAGCCCTGAGCCCGAACCTGAAAGTAAACAGCTAAAGGTAACTCCCATTCCGCTTTAATTGTCCCATACAGTACGTACACATTACCTCACACTATCATTTAGTGATATATAATCTGGGGAGGGGCAGACTTACGTTGCATGTATGCGATCATACGAGTGGATATGTCCTCGATCGAGCCTGAGAAGGATCCAGGGGTTCCTGGAGGCCCAGGGGGGCCCGGGAGCCCGCGGACAGCCGACTGTGTGCTTCTACCTGCAAGGAGCAAATAAAACATGTTCATACTCAGTTCTGTCCCGTGTGGGATCCGTGTGTATGTGGGAGTGTGACTTTGCTTAAAAGAGCCCTTACTCAGATATTCAGAGATGTACTGCCGCATCTCAGTAGAAGAAGAGAAGGAGCCCGTCTGACCCGGAGGGCCGGGAGGACCTGCAGGGCCGGGGGGGCCTGAGGTGACTGAGATGGAGCCTGAAGAAAAGTGAGATGGTAAAGACATTGGAGAAAATGTAAGGAGTGCTGTCCGGCTAATTGCACACAGGACCTTACTAAAAAGATCAATGATTTGGTGCTAAATATACAGAAAATGAATGTAAAACACCTGTTAACAAGATACAAATATATGAATGTGTGTATTATTGTAAACTGTTCTCTACCTCTCGAAGAGCCAGGACTACCAGGAGCTCCAGTGTTCCCTTAGAAATGACAAACAGCAGCATTATCGTCAGGCCTCACAATAAGTACTCTGAAATACAGACATTAAAACATTGTCTGCTCCCACAGATTGAAATGTGTTAGTAGTACCTTTGATTCCCTGTATTCCAGGAAGTCCTGGCGGACCTGGAGGTCCAGGGGTCCCGAGTCCTCCACCATAAGAGGATACTGTTAGGAAGAAATAAATAAACATTTAGTGTACATCAAGAAAAGAAGAAAATGTGTGTGTGTGTGTGTGTGTGTGTGTGTGTGTGTGTGTGTGTGTGTGTGTGTGTGTACCTCTCTCAGAGCTCCCTGTGGTTCCCGGCACACCTGGCTGCCCTGCTTCACCTACGGCACACATGATGATGTCACAGTTATTTATGAGAGGAGTAGGAAGGCACACGATCAGTAGTATTGTTATGTAAAAAATCAATTGGTAAAAAAATACATATTTTCTAAAGATACACACAAATAAAAGAACAACAATTACCTTGGTATCCTCTTGGTCCAGGAGAACCTAAAATAATGAAAGAGATGTTATAATAATGTGTTATTACATCAAAAAAAGAATGGCAGAGTTCTTTAAATGAAACAAGATGTCTTCACACAATCTGCTCACCTGATGATCCTCTAGGCCCGACAGCCCCAGCTGGTCCTGGCGGTCCAGTATTAAACGTTCCTGTAAAACAAAAAGTTTAGAAATGTTTTCTGTTGCTGCTCAATATGTCTCAAACCAACATCAAGACGGAGCACAAGGTTAGATTTTGGATCTTACCTGAGCTGGATGAAAAGCCGGGTTCCCCTCTGTCTCCTTTAGGCCCTGGTCTTCCATAACCTAAAATATGATGTTATAAGTTAAGTTAATAATGATGTTATAAGTTAAGTTGATATAAAGAATGGATGAGCTTCACATAATACCAAACATACTGAATACATATTTGTACAGTGGATTTATTGAGTTGAAATACTTGCCTGTTGGACCTGGAGGCCCGGGCAGTCCTGGTCTTGAATCTCCTGATGAAGATATTTTTCAAACAGTCAGTGACACAATTTGAAGAATATCACAAGAAGTCTGCGGTCTTTCTCAGATGCCGTTGAACAGATCCTATGAAATGATTGAGGATGATGTCTAAGATCATGCTGCAAAAGAGCATGTCATGTTTTATTTACCTGCAGGTCCAGGTGGACCAGGTGGGCCGGGGAGGCCAGATATTGCTGATCCTCCACTGGCGCTAACATGCCCTGAAACAGACACAGAAACACAGTTTTAAGAAATTAGTGGTATTCCAGTCTGTATAAAAATGACTATCTAACTTTTGCAGAACAACGCCAATCAGTGGCAACAAGATGCAAATACAGGAAGAAAAGAAAAAACTACTATTAGCAACTACAAGTGGTAGAATTACAGAGGTGTATTTACTGTACTTTTTTGAAGTGCTTTTACTTTATTAGATTGTGTTGTTATCATGCTACACTATACCTCTAACCCACTGCATTTATATAAAGGTTAAAGTCAGAGAACAAATTCATAAATGTGACTTTACAAATCAAATGATTGCAATTAAGAAAATATAAAGGATTTTATTTCTCATGATTCAAATGTTCTATTTGAAAGATGGTTATTGTGTTAGTTATTTTTCTATGAGACAGAAGATTACATGTTATTTAATTGATGTGTGCATCAGCAGATAATGCAACTCTATGCCTGTAAACATTATTCATCTTATAGAAAACCATTTTTAAAAGTACTCACTTGAGGTCAAGGTTTCAGATGTTCTCGCTGTTATTCCTTGTTCTCCCTGCTCGCCCCTAAATCCTCTGTCACCTTTAGCACCTATGAAAACAAACAAAACACAGAATCTATTAGACTCTACATATCAGACATATCCAATTTTTAAAAAACTCTTCCTTTAGCAGCAAAAAGCAAAAAGACCTACCAGTTTGGCCAGGCAGACCAGCAGGGCCAATTGGACCTGAGGAGGAAAACACAAAATATCAGTATAAATATTGTTACTACTGACATTGTTTGATTTTTCAGGGATTAGATGCTGTAAAGAGTCAGACCTGATAATCCTGGACGTCCAGCAGGGCCGGGAGGACCTGGGATGCCGAAAGAAGAGGATCCAGCTGGAAAACAAATGAAACATACATCAGATATCACATTTCATTTAGCTGACGCTTTTATCCAAAGCGACTTACAATGACCAATTACAGGGACATTCTCCCTGGAGTAACTATGGGCTAAGCGCCTTACTCAAGGGCACTAGTGGTGGTGTTCCAGGCGGGATTTGAACTCACAACCTTCCGATCTTCAGCCCACCTCACTTATCCATTAGACCACCACTACCCTACAGTAGATATCATCAAACTGTAACCCTGACAATAATAATATGTTGAAATATAAGAGTTAGCATGCTATGTTACCTGCGTTGATGATTCTTCCAGCGTCACCTGTTTCCCCTGAAACAGAGAGACACATGGTACAGATTAATAGCAGAAAGCATGTGGTATTTCACAGAACGTGCACTTTCTGCAGCAGATCATCCTAAAGGAAACTGTAGATGTACCTTTAGCGCCGGGACTCCCTGGGTTCCCTGGTATCCCTAAAAGCATGACGCAAATACAGTTTTTATGTTGAGAGCATTAAAAGAAAAGATAATTTATGATAAAATACCACATCATTAATCATCATACCTGGTGGTCCTTGAAGCCCAGGTTGTCCTACAGAGGGGGAGATATGATCAATATTTATATTATCCACTTATTATAAAAGTTAGTAAAGTTGAAGATCCAGTTCCATTATTGAGGCATCAGGGTGGGTTTACCTGCATGTGCAGCATCTCCAGGAGACCCAGCAGGACCCCTGAGTCCAGGAATACCTGCAGGCCCTTGGCCACCTGAGGGTCAAAGTAAAACATATAATTAGAGATGATTTGAGGATTTTTTGAAGGTACTGAAAACAATGTTTGTGTGTAATACAAAATGTTCAAGAAGTGAAAGAAAAGTCTTGTTTCAGCTCAACATGGTTTAGTTGTGTACTCTCTAATATTATGTAACAATACTTTGAACAGTTGTACATGTCATGTGTATTTATTGACTTTCTTTGTACCTCTTGATCCTTCAGTTCCAGCCAACCCTGGTGACATAAAAAGCAAAACAATTAAATTCATAAGTTGCTCTGAAAACATACTGTTGATGTAAAGCCAGTATCAAAGGTGTATGTAATGTATTTAATGAACACTAAAATACGCTTTCTTTTATATATATTTACAATGTGCTTTTAAGATTAGATGCTATATAGTTGCACTCTTCTCACTCTGTATTGCATCTGCTGCACATAAGTTTTACTCTGGTTGAAAAAAAAGTTGTAATTGATCTGAACTTTTTCAGAAAACCCCTCTCTGCTGCCCCCTGGTGGAGGATGTTTTAAATACTCTTGTTACCGCCTCACCTTTGTAAGGTTTTTGCATTACATATCATGCTCTATAAAATGATAAAGATAAATAATATGCTATATAATTGAACAAATGTTCAATCTCAATAGATACAATACATTGTTAGTATGATATTTGATTTTGTTATGATCAGACTCATGATTATCATAATTCATTGCAAGTCACACTAAAATAAATGATAACAATTTGAGGGGTTTCGCAAGTAAACATTTTATTTAACCTTTATTTACTCAGGCAAGTCATTCAGAACAATTGAACACGGTGGCCTGCAACCTGCAGAGACTTTAGGAAGTAACTTCTTCCAGCCAAGAAACACACAAACATAGCCCTCTATTAAACCGCTAATTAGATACATTACATATTTTTAATAATTATGAGGCCGGAGGTCTGTAACTCACCCATTGATCCTTTCTCTCCAGCCAGCCCCTGCAGACCCGGTATACCACCATCACCTGAGGAACGGGACGACTAGATTAGGAAACAGCACAGCCTAAATAACAATAATAAGAACTTCCAATATGGTATGCTGTACTGACCTTTCACACCTCTGGCGCCTGTATCACCAGTGTCACCTACAATTCACATTAATTAAACTGCGGTTAGAAAAATGATCTGACCTCAATAGTCCTATAAAAGCCTGATGTGGTTTCAACAAACCTTTAAGTCCTTGGAATCCAGCAAGCCCTCTGTCTCCTGCAGAGTGAGAAGTGTGACTGTGAGTAACATGATAATACATGTAATAAATGAACTAAGTATTTCAGTGTGACCGACCTTTAGGCCCATGTGGTCCTGTCTCGCCACGGAAACCCTGAGAACCTGGTTGACCTATATAAAAAAGAAATCGAATTTAAACGCCGGGAATTAAGACGGGCACTGTTAAAAATATTATCACACATTTTAGATAATATACAGCTCAGCTGGTATTTCTGGAGCGGTTGTAATCAATGAATAAAAGGGAAAACTGACCTGGTGCTCCAAGAAGACCAGGAATTCCACTTGAGCCTTAGAAATAGATTTAAAATGATTAGAAAGTAAAAACACTGGTAAACAACAACATTATAATAGCATTTGGAAAATGTAATAATTAAGGAGTAAAAATTACAATTGAATTAAGGATTGACACAGACATGTACAGAATGATAAGATTTGAGTGTGTCTGAGTTAGTTACTTTTCCTATTAAAAACTGAAAAGATTGATCGGCAGAACAAAATCTAGTTTAGGAAAACGTTGAGTTAAAGCCACGAGGGGGACACATAATGTTTTTTGCTGCAAAAAATGTGTGCTATTGAAGCAATGTGGTGTTGTCATTTAAGTGTGTGAGTGTAGTGTATTTTAATATTTGTTATGCCTTAAAATGTTTGTGATTTGTTGTTTTCCAAGCAGTATAAGTAGCAGAACCTTAATATAAGTTTGAATTCATCGTTCACAAAAAATGGCTGGGATTTTTGTAATCTTAACAACTGTATATATATTATATATCAACCTGAAGGAATATCTTGTTGCTTTCAGTGAATGATACTGTAGTCTTTATTCACAGACGCTGCCACCTGGTGGTCGTCACAGTTCATACTGTTACAGATGTACCTTGTGTCAGCACATAAAACCATTAGTATTCTGATGTCAAAACACAAACATATTTTTTCATTGAGTAATATTCAATAATCTCACCTTTAGGACCGACAGACCCAGGTTCCCCGGGAGAACCTGCATGAACAGAACAAGACATCCTGACGTGACACATTCAAGATAAACTGGCTGTTATTACTGTATTATAAAAACTAAAGTTATTTGTCTGCTGGGAATCTGAGCCCTACCTCTTTCACCTTTCGCTCCAAAGCCTGCAGGTCCTGCATCGCCTCTGGGGCCCGACTGGCCCTCGCGACCCCTGACGCCAGGTGCCCCATCCAGCCCATGATCACCTGACCAGACAATTTACAGATAAAATGTATCACTGTTATTAAGCTAAAGAACATACTTGCATCATGTTGTTTGAGCTGAAGCGCTCTCTGTACCTTGACCTCCTTTCTGTCCTTTCTGACCCTCAGGGCCTGCATGTCCCATGGAGCCCGGAGCACCTGAGGTCAAAGGTCATAGTCAGTAAAGTAAAGTAAATATAAAACACTGGTAAAGACTCAATGAAAAGTTAGCCATCATTCCTCACCTGGAATTCCAGGGAAACCAGAGTCTCCTGTGAAGTAAAATATACATTTGATTATAACAACTACAGAATTAGCAATCTGAAAAATATATGTAACAGTAACTAATATATTTCCAGGGTCCCTTAAAAATAATACAAAATAAATGCACATGCTAAAACACAAATAATGTTGATAATCTTAAAAACAAGGGAACATGGAATGATTTTATATATATATATATATTTGTTTAAATGTCACCTTTAGGTCCAGTAAGTCCTCTCTCTCCCTGCACTGAGGACACTAGAAAAGCTGAGACAGAAAAGAACAGTTCAATAAACATGTGTGTGTGTGTGTGTGTGTGTGTGTGTGTGTGTGTGTGTGTGTGTGTGTGTGTGTGTGTGTGTGTGTGTGTGTGTGTGTGTGTGTGTGTGGTGTGTTGTGTGTGGTGTGTGTGTGTGTGTGTGTGTGTGTGTGTGTGTGTGTGTGTGTGTGTGTGTGTGTGTGTGTGTGTGTGTGTGTGTGTGTGTGTGTGTGTGTGTGTGTGTGTGTGTTTAATAGTTGTCACAATATAAGTGCAGTACCTCTGTATGACTGGGAATGCATTTCAGTTCTTAACATCCGCTGGACCATGATCTGCAGAGCAGCAGCATCCATGTGTCCTCCGCTCACTCCGGTCCCGAAGGCACCGCCTTCACTGTGGCCGGTACCAGCAGAACCGCCGGCACCGCCACTGAAACCAGAACCAGTGCTGCCGGCAGAGCCACTGAGAACGGTACCAGAACTAGAAGAGCCACTGAAAGAGGTTCCAGAAGAACTTCCACCACCGAGACGGGTACCAGAACCACCAGCACCGCCACCAGTACCGCCACCAGTACCGCCACCAGTACTGCCACCAGTACTGCCACCTCTGCCACCGGCACCACCAGAACTTGCCCCAGTCGCTCCACCGGCTCCAGCACCACCAATGCTGACATCAAGGCCGTTTCCACCTCCACCAGTAGAGCCGCCAGCACCAGCTGCAACACCGATTTGTGTTTTGGATCCCGAACTTCCAGCTCCACCCCCCATATATAGCGTGTTGTCGGTGTGGGAGGTACCTCCTCCACCTGCACCTACACCACCTCCAGCAGCTCCAGCAGCTCCAACCGCTCCTGCTCCTGCAGCTCCAGCTCCAGCGGCTCCGAAGGTGTTGATGTTATTTGAAGTTCCTGACAGCCGGCTGGTACGAGCGGAGGACTCAGATTCCAGCGTACCCACTCGACTCTTCAGCTTTCTCACGTCCTCAGCTGAGAAAAGGATTCAAATTTGGTTTCATTAGTGATGGGAAATTATTCTCTCTTTCCCACAGGTTACACATGTATCTGACCGTCTCTCACACAAAGCCCTTGGGTCGGCATTTATTGAAAATTGTATTGGCATAATAATTAAAAGAAAAAAAGAAAATAAATAATAATATCATTATTAAAAGCATAACATTATACTTATTAAAAGTTAACTCCTAAAAATAAACGTAATTAATAAATGGGGACATTGACTGACTCCTAAACACAATGTACCAAATAAAAAATATAAAAGAAAGTGAATAACTTTTCAAGTCAAATTTAAATGATTATGTGATTTATGTCTCTGAAAATATCTAACCTTAAAAATGTTTTGTATCTACCTTTAACAGAGCAGTTAAACGTGATGCACTTTCTGACAATAATACATACTGCCCCTATAGACAGTATATATACTGTATGTACTCTACAGGATCAGATTTCAGGTTCTCTTTCTTTAGCACATTTTTCTACAGGAAAAATCCTCATCAGCAACTCTCCTGCTGCAGGCAAGCAAACTGGAGCCTCTGATGTCATCAAGCAACGATTTGCTGGAGCTGCTTCACTAACAATGAAAGCCAGACCCACTTTATGGTCTAAAGGTCAAATTTCCAGGGAGGGGATTACATTCAGTGTCTAAGCAGCAGTGAAAGCGCTGTGAAGAAATGCTCAGTATCCTGAAGCTAAAACACACTTTTTATTGGTTTAAAAACACTCACTCCCAGGCGATTTACTGCCAAGCTGCTCCACAGAGTATCCTGTGATTCTAAATGCTTTAACTTTGGGGACATTTTTATTGTCCCCGATTAAAATCTCATTATGTTGAACAACAGCCTTACCCAGTGCAATAAGCCCAAACAAGAGTCCCAGCAGGAGCAGGGAGAGGAGGAGAAGACCCAGCAGCCATTTCCACCAGGAGCAACACGCGTCCGAGCAGCAGCAGAATCCTCCTCCGCCTCCAAAGATCCCGCTGTCCCGGTCGATCTCTGAACACAGACGTCATTTTTAGTTAATTTACTTTATTCCTACTCATTTGTGTGCCCGTACATCACCTGAAATTCGAACAATTCACTGTTGAAGAACGCTGTGAAATGTGAAACTGTAATAGTAGCCTATGTGAAACACTTTTAACTGGTTCAGCTTACCTATACATTATATCTAATAAATATATGTCACTATTAATAAAACACTCTCAATGTGTTTGGTAATAAATAGAAAGAGTCCTTAAATACCAACATATTCAGCATTAATATAAATATCATCATACATGCAATCAAAAATACCTGCATAGGTTGATTTGTCTTTCATCACAACTCCAGATGTCCCAGATGACCCGTCTGACGTAGGGATAAATAAACATCACATATTCATTTCTTTAATAATAATTCAAGTTCATTTGTGTTTTTAAGAGACGTTTTTGATTACCACTCACAGTAAGAGTTGCCACTCTCTGTCTTCAGTGGCGCCGTCTCAACGTAGCTTGAAATAAGCTTCTCTTTCTTCATCGAATCTCCTGACAGCGACCCTGAAAAGATAAGAAACTGAATGTTGGTGATGCTATGGAAATCTCACTAATGCAAAGTCTTTCCCAGTGAGGCGGAAATGCAGTTAAGGTTGATTAGGCTTTTTCATTTAGAAACAGAAATGAGAGAGATTTACACAATCAAAACTGTATGTCCATTACTTGCCTCAAAATGACCAGAAATCAGAATTGCACCATGGTGTGCTATTGTTTAAAATATGATGGGTGTATGCGCCACAACTCGCTGTGGACATCAGGAATTTAAGGATCCAAAATTGGTCCAAGAAAAGTTGAGAAACCTTATTAAGTTGTGAAAGAAACCAGTGTTTCTCCAGCAGGATGTAGCAGTCTCACCTCCACTCATCTGAACACTGCTGGTGGTGAACTGCTTCCCGCTGTCTTTAGCCATGATCAGCATGTCAACGTCTCTCTTGGCCGCCACGTTCTCCTTGTCAGAGATCAGGAACTTATAGTCTCTCTTATAGGAATCATCAACTGTGGTTCTAGTGGCTGGCAACAAAAGAAAGTCAGGATTAATTGAGGATTCAGAATTGTTAGATGTGATTTATAAAAGTATTGTGGACTTACTTGCAGAGACTCCAGTGCTGGCGACTCCCCCACCATTTGACAAATTCTTCTGAACGCCATAACCTTTAAAAAATAAACACCCAACAGATAAAAACTCTGATAAGAAATGTGCTATTTTATATTATTTTTAAATAAAGAACACTGTCAGATAACATGCTGCCGTACCTCCTAGGTTAGTAGTCACGTTTCCTCCACTGGTGGTGAGCACAGTGGTAGAGGTGGGAGCCAGGTTATTCTGGAAGCCGTAAACTACACAGATATAAATGGTTTGATTAGGTAACATAAACTCATATAAAAACACACACTTGATCACAGGACGCACAGGGATAATCAAAAACGTAATTGCTTACAACAAAACAAACTGAAAAAGTAGCACAGGAAAATCTTGTGTTGATGATCTAACAGGGGAAGGTTCTGCTTTGCTGTTCCTTTACTTTAACAAATCTGAGTCATCTGTGAAACAGGTGGGGAAAAACGTTTTGGCAGGTGAAAAAAATGCTTGGCTCCTGATTGAAAGTGTTTGTAATATTCATGTTGGGCACAAGATGCTAAGGTGCAGCACTACGCCATTTTCTAAGTAAGTACAAATATTCATGTTTCACAGGTGGAAAAAATAACACACTTAGAAAAATGTTCCTGGCAGAAAAAGAAATATTTTTACTTGGAAAAACTTTTTTCCCGGCTGTTTCACACATGTCATTTTTTCAAAGGAATGCAGAGAGCAGGCTGGCATAACCTTTTTCTCACCTGTTTTACATCATAAGCACAGGGGAAACTATTTAGATCAGACTTAGAAAATCGATCCCCGGAAAATGCTACACAGGAAAATCTCTCTCACTTATATCGTCTTATATAAAGGCACCACAGAGACAAAACCATACGCAAAACATCCATTACTACCTACAGATGGGTCCATATTTCACCTGCAGGTAACAGGTAATATTCACTCTATGTTAAGTCTTACCGGAGAGGGAGGAGGGTGAGGTGAGACCAACTGGAGCGGTTCCTCCAGCCAAGTTGTTGTTCCCGGCCTGGTAGGCGTAGCTGCTGGTGTTGGCAGCCATCACCGTGGTGGAGGCGGAGGGCAGCGTGGTGGTGGACCAGGAGAAAGTAGGAAGTGTGGCGTCCAGTGTGTCATACTGGCCTGATCTCACACTGCCATCATACTGGCCTGATATCAGACTACCATCATACTGGCCTGATCTCACACCATACTGGCCTGATCTCACACTAGTATCATATTGGGCTGATCTGACACTAGTATCATACTGGGCTGATCTTATGCCGGTATCATACTGCCCTGATTTCAAACTCATGTCGTACTGTCCTGACTTCACACCAGTATCAAACGGTCCTGATTTTAAACCAACAGCATACGGGACAGATTTCACAGCAGTATCATAGTGGTCTGATGTCACGGTGACATCATACTGGCTTGAGTTTACACCAGTATCAACCCGCCCGGATGTCAGACCGGCGTCATAAAAGCCTGATGTATCAATGGTGTGGAACCCGGTTGATCTAACACCAGAGCCAAAGGAAGTTGAACCTGCTGGAAAGAGACAAAAAGAAATGACAAACATTAAGAAAAAGCATCTCTTTTTTCCTGAATAATAATGCATTCATATTTTGCTAGTGTGCATGGATGGTTCAATCCTTACCTTTTTAATCAGTGCATATGTATATATGTGTATGTTGATTATGTATGTGTATATATATGTATATACATGTTTTTATAGATATTTTTATATATATATTTGTATTTTTTTTTACTCCTCTGGATTACTGCGAAACAGTATTTTGATCCCTCTGTCTGTACACACAAACGGAAAGATTGACATTAGAGCTGACTTTGACTTCAATGAGAGGCCTACTGACCACAGAGACTAAGTGTCCCAATGTCTTTCACATACAGTGGTGCTCAAAGAGAGACATACTCAATATAACCACAAAGAAATGCAAAAAAGCTACAAAACAACACAAAGAGACTCACAAAAAAAACACGAAAACTGACCTAGAAAGAACTAAAAACAGACACAAAACGACTACAAAGAGATACAAATAACAACAAAACAAAAAGAGTTTAACTACAAAGTCTGTGTGTCTAGCTCCAACGTATCCTCCTGGGACCAGGCCATTGAAAATGTCCACTGTAGTGGACATTTTGTTAACATGGATCTCCTTTTACTCTTTTGAGCTACTCTATCAATCCCTGATGTGCTGTACAGAGGACATCCTGGTCTTTCCAGTGAAATGTCATTGGTTAAAATTGCATGCTGGGAAGTTCCTCTTTCTTTTCATCCAAAATGGCTGGCATACCAAAAACAAAATGTTATAGAAGCAGGAGGAGAAGTCAAATATTGTTGAATAATTGTAATTTTTACCATGAAAATCATATATGTTCTTGTTTATTAACATGTGAGGAACTATATAATTAGTTCTGAAAGCAATTAAATAATTCAAGTTTTCAAATAACAGCTCTTTTATAAATGTCCATTCTAGAGGACGTCAGGAACATCTTCATGGACTTTATGACTCAATATTGTTGCAGGAGACGGAACTGAAGCAGACATTTTCTGTACCAGATAGTTCAGGGAGATTAAGATTTTGAGCTCTCAGATGATGAGAGAGATGAGGCTTTCACACCTGGGATAGAAGAGGGTCAAGAAGAAGGGGTGGAAAGATGCAGGAGGCTTCATGAGCGCACAGATACAGAGAGAGAGACAGATAGGGACGAGCCGGAAAGACGAGGTCTTCTGTGGGCCAAGAGTAGCACGTATGTCTTATTGTTGTTTTTATTTTAAGTGGAGCCATGAAAAATGAGAATTGCCTCAGGAATGCAAGCTTTGTTTCTATGAGCAGGTCAAATGGAGACCACATTCATCAAACTAGTCAAGATTACCCTACAGCCCGTGCCGACTGGAGTCAATGAGGTACTTTTCCCACTACATTGACTACAAAGTCTTTGAAGATCTGGAAAGATTCACCAAAAACCAAACTAGTTTTTCAGTGACCAAATAAACAGTAATGTTCAGATCAATTACTTATTTATGTTTTAAATAAAGGTGAATGTATTATTGTATTAATATCACTCTATAACCATAATACGTTACATAGTCTATCTGTTCATTTTGGCTGTCTTTTCAAACTAATATGTTCCCGACGTCCTCTACAGTGGACATACTGTAACATTTAAAAATAAAATAAAATAAAAAAGTCTAAATTGCAAGATGTTTTTTTAACCATATCACAAAAAAAAGGAAATTGGAAGACACCTTTTTTCCTCGGGTCCCAGGACAAATCTCAGGGAATTGTCTGTGACCAGGAGCTTATTGTATTATCATCCAACCTGTCACGATTCTCATGTTATGTCACGTTTTTTGTTTTGTATGTCTAGGTTTGGGTTTATTTTGCTGTTCGGTTCTCCCTGTCTCCCTTGTGTAATGTCTGGTCCCTCTCTCTGTGTTTTTCCTCCCTGTCGTTAGTTTCCCTGGTGTGTCTAATTGTCTGATTGTGTTCACCTGTTGCCCTTGTGTTTCTCCTCCCCTGCCCGGCTGTGTCTCGTCTCGTGATTACCCCTCCCTGTATTTAGTCTTGTCTCTTCCTGTGTTCAGTGTTGGTTCGTCTTTTGTTTGTGACTGAGTTCACCGGTGAGTGTTCTGTTTTGTCCAAGTTATTTTTCAATATCCTTGAAATAAAGGTTCATCTGAGTTATCTGCAATTGGGTCCTGCTTCCTTCACTCAACCGTAACACAACCATGCCTGAGTGTTATCCAAAATGTGAAAAAAGGATACTGTATTTATTTTTGTATTGTGCAGCAGAGAATAAGTATACTGGAAATATACAGTCACTGTCTTAAGTGTTAAATGTCTGTCTTCAGAATGCATTTATCTTAAGGAGCTGTCCCTTTCTAACACAGTACAGGCACACACTGAGGTCAGATTAGGAAGGAGACACGGTGTCTGTGCATGTTAACTATGCACATGTTTGTGACGCTTGTAAGAGTGTAAGGGTATTTACCCGACTGAGAGGCCACTGAGATAGTCTTGGTTTCCACGCTGGCCTTTTTAGGGACCGGCAGGGTGATGGAGGCGTTGGAGCGAGTGGGGCTGATGCTGCAGGAGCGCCCCTTCAGAAGCTTCTTCACGTCGTCCAGCTCCGTCCCTGTAAACCACAACCAAAACAATGTTTTTACAAATATAATACTGCATTAAAGTATCTCTAAGCAATACATTCTAGTGCATTACTGTAGTTAAATCTTTAAAAGTCAGAGTTGGAATGTACACTTACTCAAGTTGGCCAACCGTAATTTGGTCAAAGTTAAAAATGTGATGATGAAACATAGCACTTTTTATTTAATTACATGAACTGGACAAACATATCGCCCTGTATGCAGTATAATTGAGAAAAACATTTGTTTAGAGTGGACGGGAAACTGTAAAAGACATTGAGTTTGCTTGTAATGTGTTCATGTTTTGCATTTTACGATTATTTTACACCTGAAAAACATTGCCATAAAACCTAAATAATAACTTAAAATACAGATAGCCTACTGCACTCTGCCTTGTGCAAAAACAATATATCAACAAAACATTCTCTCAGCTTTCTTGTCCATTTGACTAAATAGATTAAGAAAATAACCTTAATTGTGATTTATTAGTACAGTTCATATAGAATTCAAATGAACTAGATATCTCTCTGTGTGATAACTCTTAATAATTATACTGAAATGTATAGAATACAAAAATTAACAATGTAATATGTGTTACTCTACCACTAAAAGCAGTTCTTAGTGATACCATTTTTTACTTTGAGTGCCTATATGTGGGTGATCATACTTTATGCTGTTCTTACACTCATAATGCAAAACATAATGTTTTTAAAAGTGGTGGAAGAAGCAATACAAATGTTACGTAAGTGAAAGTAGCAAAAGGAAAAAGTCTGGAAGTAAGATGAGCTTGAACCATTAAGGTAAGGCAGCTGTTAGAGTGATTTGATTAATGGTTTATTATAATGGCTGCAATACATTTTATATCATACCTTTTGAAGTGTAGTGGAAGTTTACTTTTTATATAGGTTACTGCTGGGTAGTTTTTGTGTAAAAGGCATCATAGGGGGAATCCTGTGTTTGTTTCTAAGAGTTTAAGAGTAATTGTTGTTCGCCAATCAATTAATATTTTCCATTGGGAAGTAGTGAACTCGAAGTGTAAAGTAGAATCAAATGGACTTTACAAATATTGTACGAAATGTACAGTACTATTTCATTCCCAGGGGCTGACATGGGGTGAAGGTGGCACAGAATGACTAAATGTTAAAAACTGTGGATTAAATAATCGCATCATGAATTTATGTCAGCAGGGGGAGCGATCAGCATCTGTAGATCTCTCACTCTCCTCGGTTTAGCCTCAAACGGGCGGTACTGCAAACAGTGACTCATGTGTGCCATTGTTGCCACCACAAATCTGCCCCATTACTTCTTCCCCACACAATGTAAACAAACCCAAGTTCCTCCTTGTTTAAATCTCACGCTTTTCTTTGTGCTTCTGTATTGTACATTATCTTGGGGAAGGGCAGATGTGTTACTAATTGATATTTCATGGAGATAAAGGTGAAGAGTCGGTGAGATCCTGTGTTGAGCCAAAGCATTCTTTTTTTTTTTTCTTTTTTTTTTAACCTTTATTTAACCAGATAAAAGCATTGAGATATAATCTCATTTGCAATGCTGACCTGGCCAAGAAGGCAGCAACGTAACTCTAACATTCTGTTCTGAGAAACTGCAGTAAAAGTGTTTCACTACCCATGTGCTGCTTAGAGCGCATCAAATAAAGATGCTTTCGTTGTTTTATGAGGAATTGCATAACGAACAGTGAATAGATTAATGTGTCTCAAGTGGTCTTACATCTGCTGGCACTGGGAGAGGCGCTCTGTAATCTGGCTCTGATCTCGCTCTCTGGAAAAAAATCACACACACACACACACACAATAAGTAAACCAGAACAATTCAGAGTCAGATGGTCCAGAAATAATGAAGAGAAGAGGTGGGAAGAAATAAAACTATTATTAAATACCTCTGCTTTCGCTCCTCCCTCTTTGGGTGCTGGAGCCTGGAGAGAAAACACACAGAAGAAGGGGACAAAAAACATAAACACACACACACACACACAGACAGACACGCCAAGAGGATAAAGCTGGAAATATAAGAAAGTATATGATCCCATTCACTTACAATAGACTCCATAATCTTTGCGTGCAAACTCTGGGGAGGAATTAGCGCTGGAACTTCCTAGACAAGCAAACACAATGGCAGCAGTGATATTAATAGCGCCCTCGTGTACCTCGGTTTCCTTAAAACTTCTGTTTCAGGCACCCCTAATGCCAAGTTTGTTTTATTAACATGTTCTCACCATCATAACCTCCTGAGCGGCTGGATGTGACCTTCCTCTCCCGGGAAGATGGCGACAGGCCTCCTGATGAGCCTGCAGTTCTCCTGGTACCGCCAGATGAGCTCGACCTGACCTTTGACACCGAGCTCACGAGATAACTGCCGCCTTTGCTTCCACCTCCTCCACCTCCTCCACCTCCTCCAGTTCCTCCTCCAGTTCCTCCCCCTCCAGTTCCTCCCCCTCCTCCTCCCCCTCCTCCTCCCTCCTCCTCCTCCTCCTCCTCGTCCTCCTCCTCCTCCTCTTCTTCCATACCCCTCTCCGTCTATGAAGATCCCTCCTCCATCACCTCCCGAGGAGTCTCCCCCGAGGTAAACTCCCGAGGAGGAGCTGAAGCTGCTGGCGTTCACTCCTCCAGAGGCTGCAGGGATGAGGCATACAAGCTATTTTTATTTTTCCTGAAACTGAATCACCTCCACAGGACAGGAATATTCCTGAGTCATGAAGGGTTAGGATTTTAAGTGCTTTTACATACTTGTGTTTGACATGACAATTCCCCTTTAATGCTATGTTTTTACTTATCATCTTTTACAACTCCAATACATGCCAGAGGGAAATATTTCGCTTTTACTGCCCTATATCTGTAGGGACAATGTTCTCATACAAAACAAAGCTTTTTTCTACTATTTTAGTAGTTTTGTTCTCTGTTTTTTTATTCTTCTACCTACCTTCCAAAGACCACAGGCAGAGAAAAGCACTTTGCTCAAACCTGTTACAATACATCTCTACGTGTTTATTTAAGGGTAATGAGTAATGACACATGTGCACCTTCCAAGTATAAAAAAAGAAACCTAAGATACAATATGATGCATTGCGTATTAAACTAACTAACACTATACAGTAGTGGTAAATGATTATAGGGGTGTCTAATAATAAGTATTGCGCTTGAAGTCTGGGTATTAAATCAGATGTAAGAAAGTTCACATGCTTAGACAAGACAGGGTCATAAAAGTGACATGCTACAGTATGTATACCCCGTGCCACGAGATCAAATTGCACTGTTATTTGCTAACACTCTTATAGGAATTTCCCGGAAAGATCTAGTAGACACTTGTTTGTCTGAAACAACTTGATTCTGATTTGCATGGAAAATCTCATCTGGAACGATATTAAGACCGGAAGCACTGATCCATATATCAAACTATTTAGTTGTTGATTTATTATGGGTAACTGTTCTATCCGTATGTATTTTATACTAACTTTATACTAACCTCTAGAAAAAAATGTAAATCATATTTTCCTTTTTAAATGATTGCTGGGTTTATGTCTAACTATTGGAAAATCTAGCACAACATTTAAAAAATATATAATAATAATAAAATAATAATAATGAAATAATACAAATTAAAAATTTAAATTAAAATTAAATAACCAAAAATGTAGTTAATAAAAAATAATAATAATAATAAAAAAATGGAAATTACATTTGACAAGCTGGTCTCATTTCTTGTTTTCCATACTTTTGCATTCAAACTGACAAAACTAATCATTAAAACTTTCCCTTAATCATATTTAATCTTCCGTTAATTAGCTAAGTATTTACATACCGTCGGGTAGTGTACTTTATTTGAAAGGTCTTTAGTGCTTAAAAACATAATTAAAATGTAAAACAACGGAAAGTGATGTGAAACAAATCTAAATGAGTACTTCTCTTTCTTTTTGCTGGGGAAACAAAATAAAAACATTCAGCTTCTCAAAATGTGTCCCAAGGCAAAACCCACAACTTCCCAGTTTTAAACCATGAGTGGAAATGTGCTCTCACATGAGGAGAAATAAGTTCCACTGCTGTTCTGGGTTAAGACATTCTTCTCCAAGCCCAGCCCTCCAGCACCGCTGGACATATTCCTGTGATTTGATCCGCTGGTTCCCTCTAGCAACGAGAAGACACAAAGCAAAACACGAGGAAGCTGTTACTCAACGGGTAATTCCTTCAGAAATGCTGGGCTATAATTATAGCATTATGTGTTAAGTTTATCATCAAGGCAAGCATGACTGAAAGAGAGACTCACTTGGTGGCAGAGAAGACAGTCTGGTGGTGGAGGCAACTGTTTCTGTCACAACTGAGCACATGAGAGAAATTAGACATCATTTCTGTATGGAGAGAGTTATCAGCAGTAACCTAGTGAGCGGGTGTTGAGTGACTGGCATGGTGACGGGTTTTACGCCTCTGGAGGTTAACTAATGTGACTTCGATTGATATGATGATACTCATATGATGACGGTGCTGACGGATTTACCGCCTTGTTGCGCTGTAGTTCAACTTTAAATAACTTCTTCTAATAGAGGGTTAACACAATTACTAACAGCTTTAAAAAAAGATAACACATCTTTCCTTAAGAGTGCTAAATATATTAGTAAAGGCCATTAATATTAGTGTTTAGCCTCATACAGCAGGACAGTTGCTTTGGATCATTCAACCTCTAAACTATAGGATAACACTCAGTTTAATGAAGTTATTTACATATTTAAAAAAGAAAATGCTTAAAAAGTGAATAATGTAATCCTTATAAGAACCCTTACTCAACAGTGATAAAGCCTATTATTAATGACTTACTAACTAGGTATTACTGCAGACTTGATGGATTATGAGAAAGTGAGACCTTCCTGGCCTAAAGTAACCTTGACTGTAAATGAGTCACCAGACAGATTTTCAGCAACAGTGCAACCTAAAAAAATCCTCCTACAATGGTCTATAACTATGAAATAAAGCATTAGTCCCATATATAATTTATTATCCATTTAAAAGTCTGTCATCGCATATTTTTCAAGATTTGTATTCTTACTTCTCTTAACTTTGTAAAACACCAGAAAAATGTGTTTGATGAATTGCCCTTTTCTATTTCAAAAATCTCCTTGTATTTATTTAATTTGAAATACTAATGTCAATGTTTTGTATCATGTTTCCATATTCTTTATTTCTGTTTCTGTAAAATCCCTTGTATGTGAACACCTACTAATAAACCGGGTTCTGATTCTTATCGAGCTTTTATAAAAAATGCTAATTAAAAAGCGATAACAATGTTTCTGAATGTATTTAATAACGTTTTTCAGTTTTGAAAGATTAGTCTGTCATATTACATTTAAGGTTCATTTGGATGATTTAAAACATTCTCTTGAGAATAACTCATTAATCACAGTGTCTGTAACAGTAAAATGGTCTGATATATCAGACTTTTCTGAGGGGGGGTCAAAGGTTGTTTTTACTTTAACCAAAAAGAAAAACGTCCCTTTCCCTCAGAACGTAAGGCTTTATCTTGTTCCGCTGTCATGTAGATGGTTCATTTGTTATCATAAGACATGGAGCAACAGCTCAACAGTTTTAAAGAATGTCCTGGAACATCTCCAGTAAGTTAGTCTTTGTGCTGAGATTTATTTTATGTTACAATACTATTTTAAAGGTCATTATCCTAAACTTAACTTTTTATTAGTGTATATGTTTGTCCCCTTTCTCTCAGAAGGCAGTTAAACCATTGACAACATATAAACAAAAGGCCTCAAATTCAACAAATAAAATGTGTGCTAATCATGTCGTGTTTATAATGAAATGGGTACGAATAACACCTTCAGTCCACTAGGAGGCGTCTTGTTCTCAGCATGTTGAGTTTTAATGGTTGCAGATCATGTAAATTCCAATACAATTTCATGCTGCCTAGCTCCTGTCCTCCCACTCCTCTTCCTTTGTATCCTTCCTTTTAGGGACTTGTGTGTGTTTCAGAGTCAAGGTTAAACACTAAAGATGATCATGCTTTTCCTTCTGTTGCTCCTCGACTTTGAAACACTCAACAAAGTCAGAGTGAAGCCAAATCGGGGCATAAAAGTAATCTTAAATTGACTTGTTTTGGCTTTCTTTTAAATGATCTATCAACTTTGTATATTGTGTCCAAACCAAATTATTGTTGTATCGCCGTCTTTCTTCTCTGACCTTCAAATTCTTTTTTTAAGTACTTTGTACCAACTGGTTTGAAAAGTGACACATGTTCAAACTTAACTAACCTTCTTTTAGAAATGACATAAAACAGGGGAAGAACATGGGGACACCAGGATGGGTGATTATATGTTTCTCTGAGTTTCTCTGAGTCAAACATATAATCAAGCGTTTTCTTGGCTTCACCATACCCCTCTGTGTCAAAAGTCATTAGGCCAAGAGGAGCCAGTTATAACTTTAGGAAAACCCAGAGGATGACTTACACCCTGAGAGCAAGGATCAGAAATGGAAACTGACACCAGGCAAGGCATGCCATTTTGTTAGTGATAGTAAGCCACCAAAAAAAGAAAGACAAAAGCATCACCCAAGAAAGTTCAGAGGGTTTTGGCCTTTAGATGCAGAGTAACACATTGCCAATCTGTCTTTGAACTTTAATCTTGTATCATTTTTGTATATACCGTGTTGTTTATGGAAAGGTTTCCATTTTGTTTGCGTGGCCAGTTGTGTGGCGTTTCTAAACTCTGCAAATAAAAACCCAAATGTCTGCATACATCTGAAGCTACAGGTGTGACATTCTTTTCTTTCTTTCTTTTGTGATTTGGATGAACCAACCCTTTACCTTGTGTTTTTCCAGTGGACTTGTTTCAAAACTTCAGAAATAAATTCAGAAATCTCACCCCTTTCTCCTGACAAGCCTCCTGAGCAGTCGATCTGTCTTGTTAACTCGTCCATCCCATTTTATCTGGTGAGATGATAAAATGTTGACCACTGTCATGCATGTTCTCTGCCAACTGTCAATAAAAGTCTGTTCATTTCTTCACTGTGGTTTAAAGGATATTTAGCAAACATCTGATGGGGAAAGTAAAACGTTATTCTAGGAATGATTTGGGTTCAAGACCTGCTTGAGTCTAATGTTTACTGCATTAATTGGAAATGTCATTCCACTGGAGACAGAAAAATGTCACATGATCATATTTTAGAAACAAAAATATAATAAGACAAAGTTTTCCTTTAAACATTCTGATTTGACTGATCTTAAAACATGAATTCAGCAGTAGGCGTACAATAGATCAGGTACACAACGTCATCTATACAGTATTTAAAAAGTGTTGTTTAACTTTGAATAGTGCACTATCACAATGAAGGATCAAGGAGCTATAAAGCATCGTCTATACATTTCAATAGATTTCAATCGGATTCACTTTGTGTCTTTGAAGACTAACAACAGGACAAAAGGGTCCGATGAATCACTGCACAGCTCTGAAAGATCATCCTCTCACCACACCCTGCCAGCCAGGGACATTTGACAGCATGTGCTCTATTTACTACACCATCTAACCTCACTTTTTCAAATTTAAAAAAACTTAAATAATCCGAAGAATGGCTTTTTTCTATTTTCTTCAAATCCTGAATCACCACAATGTTCAAAGTTCGACAATCGTGAAAAAACTGTATGTTTCTTCCCTCGCAGAGAAAAGCAAAACACAAGTGAAAATGAATAAAAACAACATGTGTCAAAAACACTTAGGCCTACTTCCTACCATAAAGACATTTATTATTGTATATCCTGAAAGTAATCTAATCAGCAAATATAAAAGCTTGGTGAAGCTGGTGTTGCAGCCAGGTCAGTTCCTGGCATATATTTTTAGAGGGATGTAAATAGCACAGCAAAAATAAATGTAAAAGTATCCTGAGATCACTATACCAGACTGATTCTATACCACAGGAAGAAAAGGGATCCTGTAAACTCCCTAGTGCTTAACAGACAACCTATGAAGTATTTGTAGCTTTCTTTATGGGACTTTGCGCAAATCCATCCAACAAATCATACAACTAAAGCCAAAAAAGTAGCTCGACAGCCCATCACCAAAGTCCCAGAGTGCAGTTAGTTAGAGCAGAGATGCAACAGCCAGGTGGGAAGAAACCCCCACACCATCCAACATAAACAACTTTTCTTTTTATATAAAAAAAAGTCTCCAGGATAGTCCAGTGTGAAATCCATACCTTCAGCCAACTCGAGAAACAAACAATCAAATCCGGGTTCCTCTCAAGATGGAGCGACTGTTCGCGTCCACGGGATAGATAATGTGTTTATACCAAGTTGACGCGCGGGTGGGATGTCCTTCTCGATCCTCGGTCCCTTTGTGCCTTTTAGCTCAACTTTCCCAGGCAAGTTAAAACAGAGACTTGGGCATAGGTCCCAGCCGCGCCCATTGGCAGGCAGGTGTAGCAGACGGCATGAAAAGTTGAATTTGGAAGAAGAAAAACAACGCCTGAGGGAACCAATTAACTTCACTCGGCTCTGCTGACTCCTCACGACAGATAGGCGACTTTTAAAAAGAAAAAGTGGTGAACTCCTCCCTTCCTGCAGCAGTCACCACTTTTCGAACTGGCAACGTTTTGTGAGTAGGTGGGAAGGAGTGATTTGGGAGGTGTGTTTTTTTCTTTTTATGGACTGGCGTGCAACCATCTTTCAGGGTCCGCTGTTATTGTGTGCAGCAGATCCATGCAGCTTGAACACATCTGGGGCTCACAATGGAAGTAGAAACAGATTTAAACTACATGGTTTCCCACACTGTGGTTCATAGCCAAAAAGTATTATTCTGAACACATTTTCTGTGCAAAAGCATTCAAACACACAATGCTTTTTTTAACTCACTTCCAGGTTTTTGAACAAAAGTCTGATCAGCATGTTTGTGCAGCTGTTGAAGGATCAGATTTCTTTACTCTGAGAATGAAAATAACACCCCCCCAGGAGCTGTTTTTAACTCTCTATGATCATTATAAAAGTTCCCTATCCATTCATTTGCATTTATGCAATTTAATTTTGAGCCAAATTGGATGCTTTATTCCTTTACTAGCAGCCACAAGCACCACCAAGATCCCTCACCCACCACACCCTGTGCAGACATCCACCCACTGTGCATGACTCACAGTCAGCATGACTCCAATCTGCTCAAATGATGGAAAACAAATAGCCCCAAGGACAGTGTAACGGAGGAGGAGCTGCTCTGCTCACATCAATGTGCAAGCTTAAATAATGCCAAATCTAACAGAAAGGGGCTGGTTTAACAAAACAGATTCCAGGATGGTGAAAAAAAAGGAGTTGACTGGCTTGTGCAGACCTTTTGTCCTGAAACACACTCGTGTTTGGGTTGAGGATAACAGCTCTCCCACATAAGGGCTTGTGTCTCTGGGACAAGGATTTGTTTGTTTAATATGTGCCAAAAATTAGTATACAGCAAGTGTGGTGCATAGCAAAGAACTTAATCATTCAAGGTTTGTAACATGAACACAGTTATTATGGAGTGTGGACGTGAATCTTGGCAGTACTGGTGTTGTAAAGAAACCACAAGATCTTTACAGATGAACATGAAGACATCACTCATCATGCTGCATTACAAAAACTGATGGAATAGATCACTTTTCTTCTGTGGTTTATAAAGGTATCTGTTAGCTTTATCTGTGTCTGCTCAAACCTCCCGCGGGCAAAACTTCATGCCAGTCACGTTGCTTTTATTTATTGTAAACTGTGAAAGATAACATATAGGAAAACTCTAGAGACTAACTCAACTTTATATTTTGTTTTGAGAGCTTTAAAGAGACAAAGCTGAGGTTCATTTTTTCATGGATCTCCTGTCTTGTTCCAAGTTAAGCTGGTTAAGATAACACATTCCAGGAAGGCCCTTTTTGTGTGGCCTCACAAAAGATTTAATCTGGATTTATTTACCTGAATACTTGGCTGAGAGAAAGTGATGCAGGGACATTTTTGGACAGCATATGTAGGATTCATTTTTTACTTATTTTCAGTGACCTTTGTTCTTTTCTACTCTCCTGCTTATCTAATAGTTAACTCAACCTGCGCTAAAACAAGATTTGGGCACAGAAAGAAGTTATAAATGTTTTGTATGGCCTGTGTTTATATATAATTATTAAAAACAATAAGCTGGTTCTTAAGACTATACTCTTTCTGTTGGTGTAAGTTTGCTTTGGTTTGTCACTATTTCCATCGTAATGAACTACTATTGTTGATTTATTTGTATTTGTGTGTTTAAGTTCACTTTACCATATCAACTCAGGCACATCCTGCAATATTAGATTCCAATAAGGCAGTGCAGAAAGGTCATGTGCAAAACATTATTTTACAGCTCTCTTTTATCCATTTAGAAACACATTTTTGCAGATAAGAAATTGGCACCATATAAAAGGAACATTTCCAAAACAGACAGCAGATAGAGAAACAGGGAAAAAATGACCTACTAACCCAGAATACAAAACACTCTTTCAGCTAAACCAAATCAAGTGACACCACTGCAGTCCACCTCATTAGTCCATGGTATAATCTCATCTATTTCAATAGCAAACTGAGTATTTGATACTGAATTTAAAGGTGTAATAGTATACAGCTGACCCTGATGTGCATCTTTAAAAAATGATCAGCCTTCATAAAAACACAATGTGGATTTATGTATCTGTGCTAAGCTACACCTGCATTATGAAAAGCTGGCATCCTCACTCAGTGTCTCACATAGCCTCTAGCTTCTAACCCACACTGTGCTGGAGCAGTATTTCATGTCAACTATTCAAAAGTTGAAAAGCACAGAAAACACTCTACTGACTCACACACATCAATTATCTTAAACTCCCCGCCCTGCAGGATTCACCCTTTTAAAATGTTTAAAAAATCCCTGTTCCCTGCGGTGTGGAATATCAGACAGCCAAGTACTGATGCTCAAGTATAGGCATGATTTCCTTTTAATTGATGTTTTTATTCACACCTTTTTGCTCAAGGCTACAGTAATGTAGGATATGGAGACCTGTCTAAAAAGCGAGCAGAGATTGGTCTATGAGTTCTCCATTAATGAGAAGAGCTGAATCACCACGTGAGTCAACCCTGGTAACAAGGAGAAGTCGAACAAACACTGCTTCAACACTTAATCTGTCAATACACCTAAAAAGAAATCACTTTTTATTTATGCAAGTAAGCCTATATTTTGCATCTACATTGATTTATCTTATTTTTTTTTATTTTCCTTTAAGATACTATCATTGTCAATATTATTGTTTATATTAAACATGTATTTTCTTAATTATTATTATTTATTATTATTATAATTATGAACTACTCTAATACTATATCATACTATTATTATAATGTATACTACAGTAGTTTGAGTTTAGGTAAGATAAACTGTTTTATTCCATCCATCCAATTATTTAGCATGTATATAATGTACCAACCCAAAGAGAGGGATGTGATTAATTCTTGTGTTTTAGGTTTTAAGGAAAAGGAATAACATCGACATTGTGGGTTTGAAAAGCAGTGGTGTGCACTGTAAAGTATCAAGCCGGTATCAACTACAGTTCCCATGATCCTGTTCGATAACGCGTCATCAAATTCTGTCCAATCACTGACTTTGGAGGTTTTCTTGAGCAGCAACCAGGCAGCAACAGGAAACAGAAACAACTCACTCCGCGGTTAAAGTTTTGATTCGTAATTTAGCGTTTTGTAAAAAATATGTTCGTTGCTCGATAGTTTTTAGGGAAGCGTTCATAAATTCGTAAGATTGAGTGTTCGTGTTAGTTTGTTTTGTACGTGTTTGAAGCTATAAGTACCCTAAATCTCGATAGGTTCTAATATACGCATTCTACTTCTAAAGTAAAAACAGTCAACGTTAGCCCAAATAAGTTAAAGTACATTCCCAAGATGGAGGTCACTCCTAAAGCAGAGAAAATAAAATCAGTGTATTCTTCACCTTGTGATTCAGTGGAGTCAAGCCCGGGTGAATATAAAGAGGAAAAGGTAGGTGACAATGACATTTGCTGTCATGTTACTATTACCCAATATTTCATCAAATTGATTTATGTCGAAATGTGTTAAACTGCAATCCAACATCTGCCATTATCACTCTGTGTGCCGGCCCTGTCATTCACTCACTGTCACCCCTACAGCATCTACAAAAGCTCAGCTCCTCTCTGAAGGAGAGGCTGAAGAGATCAAGGCGCTCCTTCACCTCGCCCTTCTCTGTAGCCAAACGCCTTTGTGTTGATGATGAGGAGGAGGATGATGGCCGACAAGTTTCAGCAGATTCCAGGGAGACAGTTAATAACTCTCCACTGTTCGTAAACAGAAAAAATGAGAGATCAGCGAGGGAGAGGTTTTCTGGACCCAATCCCGAGCCAACACATTCTCTTTCCAAAGAAATGGCACAACAACCATACCAACTGAGGAAGGAGGTTAAAGAGAAGACGGAGACTCTGCGCAGACTCAAGATGGTTCACATGTACAGGAGCAAGGTATCAGCTGCCTTTAATCTGCTCCTAACGGGAATATTATCAACGGTACTAGTGGGTTATTATCTGTCGCCACTTTTTAATAGCGGGTATCTGGCTACTCCACATTAACTTTTCTCAAAATAACAAATATTAATCCTAGGGGTTAGGGTTATTAAGAGAATCTGAAAAAAACAATAAGTGCGTATTTAGAGTCTGAAAAAACCAAAAAAGGTGTGACAGATAACCCACAAGTACCTTATCATGTATTTTGCTTAACTAGACTGATAGTGGTTATTTGTATATGACACGTTCCCTGTCTCTCCCCAGAATGATCTAACGCAGCTCAAAACCTTGATTGACAAGTGGAGGAGTTGTGCTCAGGCCGCACTGTATGAGCTCCAGACAGATGGCACCCAAGACAAACACAAAATCAGCCTGTCGAGCCTCATTGACCACTTCGGCCTGGAAGACGGTATCCTGCACTTTGACCGCATAGAGGAGGACTTCACTACCTAAAAAAAAAAGCTTTAAAACCGTTCAGATTTCAAATATGTTTATTAAGTTCATTGTTTCATTTGTTGCTGCTGTTCTATTGTTAGCTTAAGTTGTACATTTCATGTTAAGTTGCAAAGAGAAGTGTAAATAAAATGATTATTTGTTAAAGAGAAGGCTCCGCTCAGTTGTGTTTCAGCTGATCAAGTGAAGGAAAGCTCTTCATCCTCAAACGCTCGACCTCGGCCCAGAGGAACGCCAGCTCCTCCCCCTGCGCTCGGGCAAACTCCTCCAAGTTCTTCCTCTGAACGATTTCCTGGTAGCGCTTCTGTTCTCTAGCTGCCAGGTTTGCCTCTGAAGCTAAACACCCAAACATGTCACAATGTCAGTGTGAAAATAGTCTAAAATCTCCCTTTGCAAAGATTAGAAAATATTGTTTTTATTACCTAGTCCTCCGTAGATGTGGCTCGTCTCTGCCATCGTCACCTGCATATTGGGTAGCTTCTCTTCTACAGCTGTGTTCTTCTCAGCTTTCATTGCTGCCTGCCTTTTAAGCTGTTCAATCTTTTTTATGCGATGCTGCACACTCTGGCGATGAGTCTAAAAGT